CACCATTGAGAAATACCTCTTGCAGTTTATTACTCCTTGGCACGGTGGCTAGGGGCCAACGTGGGGAATATGCATTCTGTCTATCACACCACCTCAGTTAAGGAAAGCCATCTCTTACGGTATCCATGTTTCCTGGAGTGACCACCCTCTGTAGCAGAGTGGCATTGATAACCTTGGCTACTTGTATAATAACAGCCCCCACAGTAGGTTTCCACACTCCCAACTGATTCTCAGCAATCTAGTAGCTGTCTGGCGTTGCAGGTTTCCACAGGGCAATTGCTACATGCTTTTTCCATTGTCAGAGCAGGTCTCATCTGGACATCCCTGCGCTTCAGGGCAGGGAAAAGCCATTTGCAAAGTTCCATGAAATTACCCTTGCACATTTGGAAGTTTTGCAACCACTGCTGATCGTCCCATACCTGCAGCACTATACAGTCCCACCACTCTGTGCTTGTCTGGCAGCACCAGAACCAGTGTTCCATTGTGTCCAGGGATGGATTGCTGGCTGAGTTTCCAGTTCGCTCAACCCTAGGGCTTACCTGTACAGCGTGCCCATGATTCCTCTTCATCCTCTTCCTTGGGGGAGCAATGTCCTTACATGTTCAAAATACTGCACCATTAGGCACACAAGCTAGACATCAACCATCACAAAGGCTTGATGCAAAACAGGATCCACTGGAGGATCACGCTGCTATAGTATCTGCATGGGTAATCAAGGCCAAAAAGGGAGCAAAAATATTGTTTCCCATTGATCTCAAGCAAGGGTGAAGGAAGTAAATGAGCACATTATGGGACACTGACAACATGAACCCATAACCACCTGCTGTACAATTTTGCTGTACAATTTCCCAGCATGCACTGGGCACAACCCAGAACATAAAGCGGCGCAGGCACTGTGGGTTAGTTACCCACAGTGCATTGCTCTCAAAGTTGACAGCAGTCTCCCCGATGGGGTTGCGCTACTTTAAATTGCGTTGAATTCTTGCACAATGGGGACATGGACCTTTGACTTCACAAGGGGGCAAGAGTTTGGAAACACTGCCCCCTCATGAGTCCGTCCCCCTTCTCTTGATTTCATTGAGAGTTAAATGCATGCAAGAAGTTCAAGACCAGCCCTTAGTAGAGACCTACTCAGCTCTGACCTCACTAGTTGAACATTTAGTGAGTCTGAATTTTATTAGTTCTCTGACCAACTCTCTGTAGATCTTGCTTTTTTCTGTTAACATGGAAAAGTGGATGTCCTAAAATGATCTCTGAGAGCTGCCTACACCAAATCCATGCAGATGTATCTGTTCGGACAAAAAAAATGTTTGGCAGCATCAAAGATTTTGCTTTGATTCTGAAAGTGCATACTCTCTGAACATGCACTTGAGTCTTCTAGCAGCATTACAACTATATCTGGGAACTGTTCCAAGAGCTCAGTTTGTCCTGCCAACATTCACAAAGCAGCATTCATTGCTGGCAGAAGATAGCTCTCCTAAAGGCTCCTCTCTGTTTTTGGATGAATATCCGTTGATAGATGAAATACTGCACTTTTTCTTTCAAAAGTATGAAGTCCTCTCGAGCCCCACATTGAGCCCGTAGCCACCTGCTTGTTGAAACATCTGTCATGGAAAGTAGCCTTTTTAAGTAACCATTTCATCAGCCGAAAGGGTATCTGAACTGAAGACCCTTACGTCTGATCCGACGCCCCC